ACGAGAAAACTTGCCTAACTTGCGAAAGTGGTCGTATTCATTGGCTGGTGCAGAGTTACAGGCCTAAATGTAGTATTTGCTTTGTTTTGAAGGGAAATTTAAGAGATTGTAGCTATAGAGTACCGCTGTAGCGCAGATAATGTTTCAATTTGTATCGTACTAGTACTGTCTTAGCTTACTTCCTGTGTCTCTTACATCACGGAACCGTTAAGTTTGACGCTCAACATCAACCGATATTGCTTCATATTGCTTTTTGATTTCTTAATTAACTTCTCTAAATCGTATGTTCTAATAAAAACTGACTTTTCTCGTCCTGAGAAGCTAGAAGAATAATTATAAAACATTTTTCACTGCTTAATTATGGGGCAGTTGAACTAAGTTGCAAACGTTATGCGGTCAAGCCAGAATGACAGTAAATTTAGCAGTCACGCAAAGCTGAGGCTAATGAAGCAAACAAACACCTACACGTTCTGCGAACTCTCAGGAGAGAACGCTACAGTCAGCGAGAAATAGACCATGTCTCCGACGAAGGGCTAACGCTCGAAACGTCAGCTTTTGTAATCGTTACGGTGGCCAATTTACCATTTTAACTTTGTTGATATATCCAAATTATTTCGTTACTCCCACCGACGCAGCCCCAAACAGTTTCTTTCGAAACTATCAGCCTTTATTCTTTAGATCTATTGTTTTACCAATTTTGACATCTTCCTGTGTATGGAGCCTCTGAATCCGAGACCTTAAAACAAATCCAGCGCTTCTTTGATAAATGTTACATGCCGCGATATAGTTCCGGTCAGTATATTATTTCAAGCCTTTCAGAGACACAGGAGAGAAAAATTTTTATCAGGTGATCTCACTGGGCTCGCACCCCCTTAAACACATCATTCCTGAAGAGAAAAATACCGCATACAATCTACGTAGGAAAGGGTGCTTTTGCCCCAAAGTTAATACCCAACGCTTCAAATCCACGTTTGTAAATGTAGATTGATTTTTAGGTACGGTTTAGTTTAGTTTTAAATATATTGTAACATAGGATATGTGTTTTTACCCTTTGAACTGAAATAAAGACTATATATAGCCGTCTAACGAACTCTATCTTAGTTCTTCCTGCTTCGCGCAAATATGACCAGGCAGTATTAAATGTGGAGTTATTTTCTCACAAACGAACGCCGGTGGTTATGCAATCAAAACATTAAATATCTAAAACCAAAAACGTTGATTTCTTTCAAGCCAGATCCAAAATCATTTGACTTGGACACACTAAATGATGAGTTCTAATGACTTAATTATACAAATAAGAAGAAGACTTTAAAACGAACTCAGGATCTTTTTTCATACCGATAACAGATCATTGACTGTCACGCTTTTGAGATACAAAAGTCTCATGGATAATTAGAAAATTAGGAAAGTTTCCGTTAGGTATCCCTTCAGAAGTGATGGCATGGGGGTGCGTGGAGGGGATTTTAACACTGAATAACTAATTGTAAAATGTGATTCAATCTCACAGCAAAAAAGTACTCGGAAACTGTTGTGAATATTCAAGGTGAAGGACAAATGACAAGTGCGGATGGAGAGACGAATGAAAAAGGACGAAAACGGATGGAGTTTTAGAGGTGCTCATAATGCTGACTTTGACTCGTTATTCCAAATATTTACGAAGCAAAGTTTTGAGTTCCGAATCAGAATTTGTCTTTTACTACAAATGACTTATAAAATGCTGTCCCAATGGACTCTACACTGAACTGAAACAATGAATTGAATTGCAGAAAATGACGTGACTTTAGCCTCTTTCACTAAGGTAACAATATCCTCTGGACCAAATGGATGGTCAGTGACGTCCTTATGAAGTCGTAAAAGCATCCTGCGGGAAATTTAAACAGTAAATTAACAACGTTTTTTTACACTCAGCAATATTTTCATCGGTGAAAATTGTTCTAATATCAACATCACCATGAGCCTTTTTATAACAGAATGCAATTCCACGGACAGGAAAACAAACAACAAAGCTTGTTTCAACCTGAAGCTTCAATCATACCCCGAAAATATTTTTAATTAAACCAGGATTAACTGAATAAAAAACAGCAACAAAAAGCTAAAAACTTTCGCCGCTTCCTCTCGCTGCACTCGGTGTTCAAACGGTCATTATATGACTTGTCATGTGTCGGCAATTAAACCCGCCGGCTTTTACGTCCTGTGACTGACCTGGCAATTTTCGTCGCCCAGCCCTGAGAATCACCCGTAAATATTGGGCGCATTTTTTACATGATATTTCGAGATGGATCAAACTGAATGGCGTAAAAGATCACCAAGTGCGCCTTTTCCGCCCGGACTTTTCGCTAGCGATAAAAATTTGCCGTGAACCTCATATAAAATGGCATAATGCGTCTCTAGCTAAGGTCAACAGTCCACCCCAACACCACTTCTGGGCCCTTTGTGTGTGGGGCCCGCGGTGCTTCTTTCTCGCTTTGTGAAGAGGATCGCATGCGTAGAAAAGCACCCACCGCTGAAGAGGAATGGTTTCCGGGGGAGATCAGTGCAGCCGTCGCTAATAGAGCATAAAGGGGGGGACTCTAGAAAATTGACTGCCGATAAAGGGGGGAGGGATAAAATCCTACGTACAGAGCTCCAGCGGGGTATCACTGATAGAAATTATTATAACACAGACGAAATCCTCCGACCTTCTTGGGCCATATATAATTTCCTGTACCCCATTAAAAAGTGAACTGACTCAATGACTATGTGAATGTAACGTAAGATTTTTGATTTGTTTTATTGTCAAACAACGAAAAATTCTGAGTTTACGACAACATATGTTTTGCTCGTGCGGTGATTATGGGCATCACAATAGAACAAATTCGATTCTTTTAACTAAGAATCTCAGAATTTCACAAGGAGGCTACAAAGAGAAAACTGTGAAATATAGAGAATATTTACATATCGAAATCCGACTGTTTTGTCTCTGCAGCTCTATATGCTTTTGACGGTTATTTTTTAATCGACAACAATTTCATAACTAGAAACCGAACAACAAAATCAACCTCGTTCCCAGGGCCTCTCATCTTCCAGACCTCTGGGGCAGGAAGATGATAGGGCCCGGAGCGAGGTTGCAATAAAAATGTGTGAAAAATGAAATATAAACTATATCTTCAACGAACAACGTGAAAATCATTTGCCTCCGAAAAATGGAATTGAAAATACTCGGCATTCACAGCACGACCTGATATCTTGTTCGTAATCTTCCCACTCTTCCATGTAGACAGAAATTCCTAGGAGCTTGCTCAAGGCATCATCGCGCTCAAACTCTCCAGTCTGGCGGAGAAATGTAAACTTTATGTACCGCTGCACACATCTCCCAATGGCTCTAAAACAGAGACGCTCTGAGCTGTCACAAATAACTTCGTTGATAAAGGGCGGGAAAACTTTTGATGGTAGTTTGGTGGTTGCAGCACACTCCGTACATAGACGTCGCAAGTTGGTGTCGTCCACGGTAGAGCCTCGACTCCAGCAGCCGCGCAGGGTGGAGCTTGGGCTCGAGGAAGTCATCCGTTTCTGTCTCGACCCTTCCTCCTTACGCACTTCCGGATCATCCAAACTGCGGCTGAAATCCTTGCCGGCGGAGTCCTGCTGGATTTGCCTTGGCCGATGAGATTGGGTCTCAGACGAAGTAGCAGCTGGTGCTGGAAGCTCGTCTGCAATAGCAAGGTCCTGAAATCTGCAAGAATCTGTCCTGTTTATGGCCATGTATCGTGGGTTGAAACCTCCTCCACTGATACGAAGCTTGGTTATTAACTGGGTTTCATTGAGGCGAACGCATAGATGACGATTCCGGCCGAGTAACCTTCCTCGATATTTAGGAATTGTGTTGACGATGCGACCGCAATCTGCCTCTCGAATTTTTGGCCTTGATGTTATTACAGGTCTACGTGATGTTCTTGTTCGGCGTGGACGCACAACTCGAGTCCTTCCACTAGATGCTGGTAGCATAGCCGAGACGACAACCAGGAACAAAACAAGTGACATTATCTGTTCAGCAAATGAGATTAAATGGGAGAACATTTTATGAATTACGATAACCATCAAAATTTAAGCGAGTTAAAATTACTGTGTGATCTTGATAAATAAACCCCAATCAGATTGAAGAAATAGCATTGTAAACCCTTAAAACATTTTGGCCTCGGCAAAGTTCGTATCCGTGTCTCCCAAACAGTAGTTGAAATTTCCTACCAATTGAGCATAAGAGGCCACAGTTATCTAACTTGAGAATCTTTCAGTTTCTCACCAATTGAGCTAATTAAGAGGCCGCAGTTCTCTAACTTGAGAATCTTTTTTAAATTATGGTCTCTACGGAACAACAACAAATGGGTAAGGCCAAAGTCTTATCATATTATCCGGTATACTGGGAAATAAACTAGTTTCCTTAAAAGCAAAATTTTCACCTTCAGATTAACAGGTATCTCCATGGTTTTCTAGATTGACTGGTGAACTTCTCTAACACGTGTGCAGCCTGCAAAGAAATATCAAGTACTGATTGAGTTTGGGCTGTTATCTTGACACGTCACCTACCTTAAGTGGATCAAATTAAAACACAAACAAAGCGAAAAGCTTAAATGAACATTAAGACTGTTTAGACAACTAGCTGTTTGGCAGCCATGATCAGTGATATCGTCCTTAGCCGAATCGCCGGGGGAAAATTTAAGGTCGACTCCAGTTTCTCGGATGCCAATCGTCTTTAAGGGGTTCATGCTTTTCCAAGGTTACTTTAGTTAATAAGTGAACCTCGATTAAAATTTCAGCTGACTTTAAACCGTCAGTCTGCGTTTTTTTTTTTTTTTTTTTTTTTTTTTTTTTTTTTTTTTTTTTTTTTTTTTTTTTTAATAACATAAATAGTTCGCGAGTGAAACTAGTTCGTAGTACGCCAAACTTGCATCGAATCCTTGTTAACGTCCATATTGGCTGATGTATAAATTCTCTTGCGTGGAAATATTAACAAGTGGCCATTGTTTGATTAGACGGCGCAACTGTTTGCAAACCCCTCAGGCAGGTCAGAGACAGACTTGCGTGACAGATTTTGAATGGATCCTTTTGCTCTTTCATCTTGAACAAACACATGAAGGACCTTAAGCACTCAAGATGGCAACGCCGAAAAAGACGTCGATTTGAACGAAACTTATACTTTTAGTTGAAATTCTGAGAACTGCCAGCCGGATGTGTCTGCCGTCTAACGTACGTATGAGAGCGGCGATGAATTCTTAATGCAAACTTTCATAATTTTGTCGTCATGGTTTCCGTTCTCGGACCACGCAAATTTTGGTGATCTCAGGTCAAGTTCAAGTTGTTTTGCGGAAGAGGGCTAAAAAATGTGCTTGAACGCACGTGCTCAGCTATTGTTCTGCCCATTAGATGTTTTGTTTTGTTGTTTCCTCGATACCTTCGTAGTCGTGGTTTGCTTTTTAAGGTTACTAGTTGACTTGTTAGAACAAAAAAATCATATTTCTTAACTCCTTTAGCCAGCTTTTTCTGCGAGGTTCTTTTGTAAAGAGTTAATATCAGTCTTTAGGCTCTGTTAGACCGACAAACGAATGCAAAAGCCTTTTACGTTATCACTTTTAAGCTGATATTTGCAGGTGAGGAAAAAAACAAAACGTAATTCGTCGAGCTTTTAAGTCATAACCGCTGTTCAATATTTGACCAACTCAATCAGGAAGGAAAAGTAAAAAGTCGAGTTTTCAAAGACGAAGACATTTGCAGTTATTGCTCAATCGGAATTAAACTTTCCTCAAAAAAATAACAAATCATAGTGATCAGCTTCTCATTGAGTGGAATTTTAACGGCAACACGCGTGAGTTATTCCCGGCGGATTTCTTTTGAAAGAGAAGCTGTATCTTTATGTTATATCATTAAAATAAAAGTCTAAGATAAATGTCGACGAAACTTTATATTCCTCAACCCGTCTTCAACGGAGTGATTGAAGGAATACAAACAAAAATGAAGAGTATCAAATATATGAAAGACATGTCCGAAATTGAACAGTTGTGATGAAGTTGTACCAATAATGATAAAAAATAAAATCGATAGCGAATTGATTCTCACTGTGTAAACCAAATTATGCAAATAATCAAACGTTCTTGATTTAAGTCCCGAAAGAGAATTTTCTTGATACCGTCTCAACCTTGCAATAATCAAAAACTAATTTTTTTGGCTTGAAAAATTCGTCGTTGCTTGTGAGAGACCATTGTAGTTTATGTGTATGCATTTAGGCTAAATCTTATGGATTAAGTGAATATGACAACAAAACAGTTAAGTAAATTCATAACCCAATAGGACTCCCTGCTCATACCTTTCCAAAATCAACCAAAGCTTCAGGTCTGTTTAGCTCGCTTTTCTGTTGTTCAGCTCTGCATTTGTCAGTTCTAATTTTCCGTCAGCGTAACGACACTATTTAACCACCCAAGGCGGAAGAAACACAAAGCAACATCTTTGTCTCGAAATATTTCACTCCCCTTTTCTGGCTTTATAAATAAATGATAATAGGCTTTTAGCCTACTATTTGTTTTGCATTATAATGACGCTTTATTGCTAGCAACCTGTCTACTTCCTGTTAATGCTTTCACCGGCAAGAGGGCGGACAAAACTCGGAGATTTTACCAAAAAAGGAGAAGTAAATATATAGCTAAGCAGGTCTGCTACTATAACTCGCTTTTCCTTTGTTAATTTTTTCAAGTTCGGATTAATTTCACCATGATTCAGTTAGAAGCTCTGCCGGCCACAAGTTGTGATGCAAAACCTCGTATATTGGGTTCTGAATTGATTTCATGTCTATAGCATGTTTGCAGCCTAGTCATAAACACATCAGAAATCAGCACCGAACATTTTGTGTTAGAAGCAGATTCCCTGTGCAATATCAGGTTTAATTCGCATTATAAAAATATCATTGATCGATACCGATAAAATCCATCAGTATTACAATAGCGGCTGGTGAACAAAAGCAATCTGTCCACAGATCTTCATCCTAGCCTTAGATTGAAAAAAAAAAAAAAAAAGTTCAGTTTGAAGACTTCGCGAAAAAAAAGGGAGAAACATTTCTCTTAGAATTCAAAATTTCATCCAATTGCTAGTAAAAAATAGCGTACTTCTTTTTTTCCCAACTGTTATTACGTTTGTGTAAAGTTGTAACATCTCTAGCTTACAACTTCCGTTGTTTCCACGCCAGGATATTTCCCCAGGAAGAACTCATGAAGTGGGGGAAAAATTAAAACATCAGGAAGGAGTTGCTTTTAGATCAGTAAAGACTATAAAAGTCGACGATCATACAATGTAGAAAACTTAGGCAACAGCGAAAGTAATGTTGTATACTTTGGACTTGAGTGTAGACTTTCGTTGACAAATTGTTTCTCACAGCAAAGGTCGAAATTGTAAGTAGACGTTAATAGACTGAGGCAGCATTTGAATAACACCATGTCTCTTAGATACAATAAGCAAATATCAAATTCTTTATTGTTTCTGGTAAATGTAATGTCTTGCAATTACGTCATTGTTCGGTGTGCTATTTTGGGTCCAGCCCTTATGACGTATAGTATAAGCCGAACTGTCATTAAAAGAATAATAACATAATACACGATGCGAAGATATTGATGTAATAGGATTTAACTGGGTAATAAAGCGGCAAAAACATGGTATTTTAACCCTTGTACGTAGGCTAAGGGATTGTACCGAACTGATATTGAAATTGAAGTGTTTCAGAAAGGAAAGAGAACTACGTAGCTACACTGAAAGTCGTAAACAAACCGATTTAGGAAGCAAATCAGCGGCCCCTTGAAAATAACCGGTCATACCCCGTCAATTACAATATACTGAATGGACAGTTTTTTTAATTAACATCTGTTCATCAATTCAAGGTATTTCTGTTAAAGGAAAATGTCGCCCTGTCTGGAGTAGCATTTTATTTTTCTTCTTGTTAAGAGCTCTGAAGAGTTTTGTCACCACCTCTATTCTATATTTGCTCTGTAACAATTTTTATTGAATGCGCTGATTGGCATTCATGTAGGAAGTTTGGAGGCATTTAAGCATCTTTGCCAAAGGTGACATTTGTTCAACGTAGTCCACATGTTTCATTAAAAAAGAAAACCATACTGATTCCTTCAACTAGTATTCTAGAGATTCTCGAGTTCAAAACCTTGGTGACTGGACCCTAGGAACTACTAATTATTTGTCAACTGAAGGGCCTGAGGGGGAGGGGGTTAGCTGCAGGATTTTTGGGGGAGGGGAGGGACTAGACGGTTTTCAGGGAGAATGGAGTGGAAGAAAAAAACAGAAACGTCGTATATTGACCAACCATCAGTTTATTTTCGATGTGCTGCATTCTCCTTTAAATCGATAATAGGGACCTTAACAAACCACGACGGCGACGGCAACGAGGACGTGGAAAAACAAGAGATCTAATTGGCAGAACAATAGCTCAGCACGTGCGTTTTGAAACTTTGTACATTTCTTAGCCGTCCTATGCAAAACAACAACGTGAAATGGCTAAAATTTGGAACTCAACGGCTACTTTATACGTCATGCTGAAATTGAGCTGTGGCGCTGTATGAGACAGTAAGCTCTTGCAGCCATTTTCTAAATTCTAACTAAGAGTAGAAATTCATTTTTTAATCGAAGTCTTCCTTGGCGTCGCCGTCGTGGTTTCTTAAGGTCCCTAATATAATCCTTGTTAACTTGCCTAACCCTAAGCAAAATATAATTGACCACAACATCGCTAGTTAAGCTTACTACAATTATACTCGTTTCTGAAGAGGGGCAAACCCTTGAAACGCTTTAAAAACCCCTCGAAATTCTTAACGGTAGCCAATTAACATTATCAGTTCAGTCGATAAAACCAAATTATCATGTTACAACTGCATTGTCTACTGTTAGTTTTTTTACATCTAAAAGGCAAAAACAAAATAACAAGTTTGCAATCGTAGAATTGCATCCAAATTCTATTTTGAACATTAATATGTACGATTCCCTCATGAATTTGATAAAAGTCGAGCCGGCGAAACAAAACGAAAAAACAAACAGCAGAAGAAGGAATTCCAGTTTGCGCACACCTAGTAGAGGGTGAGAAAAAACCTTACCCAATACCTGGGAAACCATCCGCGCGAGTTTCATGGGAATTTCTGGCATTCGCAGCAAACACCGATTTCTTGCGTATACGGATCCCATACCTCGACGTAGACATGGAGCGGTGGGTCATCACTGATGGTTTGATGCCACACATATTCCTTAGTGAAGTAAATAAAAGTAAACTCAAGAGACCGCTGGACGCATAACCCCTGGTGATCGAGGCAGTGTCCAGATACACATTTGACTTCGTTGATAAACTTGGGGAAAACTCCATCTTTCAATTCGGTTACTCTATTACATTCCGTACATAAGCGAATTAATCCTCTTTTATCCACAGGTGTACCTCCACTCCGACAACGGTACGATTGAGATTGACTGACGCAGCTCTCCAACCTCCTCTTTGGATATTGGTACTGTCTGCCTTTCTGGAAGGGATAGATTTTGATTGGAAGCTTGTCCTTGCTGTAGAGGTCCCTAAATCTGCAGGCATCTTTCTCGTTGATCGCCATGAAACGCGGGTTGAATTCGCCAACCTGTCGAAGCCTGGCTAACAGCTGGGTGTCATTGAGGCGGACGCAAAGTCGTGGATGAGATTGCAACTTGCTTCTGCTTCGATAATCGGGGATCTTGTCGACAATGATACTGCATTCTCCGTCAGAAATCAGTTTTGACTTCTCGGCCACTGGGCGAATATGCTTGTACTCCGTAGAAAGAGATCGCTTTCCAATCCTCCCCAAAGATGACGGAATTGTCACGCACAGAAATATCAAAGTGGTGAAGAACGGCGTCTGTAAAGTAAGACGCAGCAATATGAGGTGGGATCAATCGTTGATGCTTAAGAGCAGATCCGTGTGTGAAACAAACAAAATCGTAAATCTTCAGCAAAGCTGAAAAATTCAAATTCACTCCTCTTTTGCATAGAGATCGCCTTGAGTAAGTATATGAATGCCATGCAGTTTTTGCCTTGAAACATCTTTTAATTCCTGAGAAAAACGATGGAAGCCGTTTTCAACTTAGGCACAAGTCCCAAACACGTGCAAACAGGGTTGAAATTAGTCATGATTGACTTGCTCGCTTGTCAAAATACGGCGCTAGAAAAAGCCGTCATAGTTCCAATTTTTTGTGTAACTTGCCATGGTCTAAATACTATGATTTCATAAACATCAGATTTATCTGAGCATTCAACAGAAGTAAAGAAGTTATGGCTCTACTGTGCTTTGTAAGACGATAGGCGAAAAATAACGATAATTTTGAGCCTGTGCCTTTGTTTAGAATTTCGTAAGATTAAGAATGACAATACCCGAGTTAACGATCTTTCAAAATATGTAAAGTTTACTTAACTTTGGGGAAATGAATGTGGGATTTTATGTGGGATTTTTAAGAATTTATTGAAAATCGTCAACGAAATACTTAAAATCACGCCATGTTGTGTAAGCGTGACAATTAACACAAACAAAATCGTTTTTGTTTTAGAAATTCTGGCAACTTAAATGGCGTAAAGAACAATGCAAATAAACTGACCTCAACTTGGACATGATATTCTCGAATTTTCAAATTGCTTCATTTTACCGTTTAATTTCATTCGTGAGGATTATTGTGAACAATTAACAAAGAAGCCCGCCGCTGCAGCCACGATCAGAACTGGCTTAGTTTTCGACGAATTTTTTGTTGCTCACTTTTCACATTTGTACGCTTTATACTGTGAAAAAAATTTTCCTGAAAATTCTAAAGGAAACCGTAAAAGGGCTGACAATAAAGCCAACTAGTTCAAGCATGTGTTCCCATGCAGTTTACCGTGAACCATTTTGAGACTAAATGTAAATTACTTCTCGCTTGCAAAACAAAACAAAATTTGCGTATCAGGCTGGACAAGAGTTCGTGACAGTAATTAGTACATAGGGGGAATAAGGTGTTCTCAGTGGCCGAGATTGGGTCTTTTTGCCCTATGTCTCTTTTCTTCTGTTTTTGACGATCGTTGTACCGAAGTTTTCAATCAAATCAGTTCAAAACGGGAAAGAGGTCTCGATAGTTTTAATTGACAGAGCTACCCTTCGTAATTTGCATAGCGGCGCGACAATATAGTATGATAAATTTACGAACATGGACTGCCGACTATACTCCCGAAAGAGCAAAAAACCGCCATTATTTCCCCAAGAGCAGGAACACGCAAAGTATTGTCTTTCTTAAGTTTAGAATCTTTCTTTAGTTCACGTGGGAAATAAACATGCACTAATGAGGTTAATTTAATTAATTTTGGAGAATCGAACACCTCAATTTTATTTAAGTGATAAGAAAGATAAATTCTTGGTAAAATAGTTTATTAGCGATCCAAAGAGGAATCTGCTACCCCCAAAGTAACGCATTATTGAGAGAGACCCCATACATGATAAAATTCAACTGTCATGCGAGCTCGTTGAATTCGGCCTCTATGCAAATTTTTATGGTTTCTTGCGAAATAAATTTGCCTACAGTCTGTCAAACAACGTATAAGTGATGGACAGGATCGACAATAGAAAAATCTGAAAATAAGCTTTAAATAGTCGGCTCGGTCAGTGTTTTAATGAGTTTTGTCGCAAAGAACACCAAGAAACACAAAATTAATTGCAAAGTTAAGATTTTTTCAGGAGTAGCCGTTTTGATCGAGCCACAGCATAAAGCGACGGTGTAGATGTCAAACTTACGGAGACCGCAGAATGGAGGAAACGGCAAAACAGAAAAACTTTGGACTCACACGAACAGCTACGAATATAATTTGAGTTAAGGTTATTATACTTTCCTATATGCATCGGAGTCGTGTTAATTTTTTTTTATATCAATGTCATAGTGGTCACATATACATAACAGGATGGCGTGATTTTGTCCTTCTTCACGATTTTCAAAAAATTGTGAAAAACTCCAAATTCATTTCCCAAGCTAAACTTTACATATTTTGAAAGATCATCAACTTTGAATAAAGGCACATGCTCAAAATCATCGTTCTTTTTTGCCTACCGTTTTACGCAACACGGGAGAGCCATGAGCTTTTGACTTCTCTTGAATGCTGGAATTAATCTAATCTTTATGAAATCACGGTGTTTAGAACTATGACAAGTTGTAAAACAACTTGGAACTATGACAGCTTTTTCTAGCCTAGTTGTTTTGGTACGTGAGTTGAGGGAGTCATGACCTATTTTAAACCCGTGTTCGGTGTCGACAAATCGATTCCGGGACTGAAAATGCAACCTTTTCGTTTTTTCGGGAACAAATAGTTTTTTCAAGGAAAAAACTACTCGGCGATCGTATACTTTCTAAAGGCTACTTAAATGCAAAAGAACAGCGAATTTTAGTTTTTTAACTTTGCCATGCAATGTTTGTTTTTTTGCACGGATTTGTTACAGTTGCATCCTCCGATCGACTTTAACTGCTGTTTGTTCGGGAAACGAATGAGTAAATAATCCGTAAGATTCATTCCTGCTCTGTTGTTGAAGATACCAGATACAACGTGAAAGCAGATATATGGTCAGCGCGTGCTTCTATGAAATTGCTACGAGTTTTATAGGACTAAATTTGTTCGGTGCGAAATTCAAATTGGAAAAAAAGACAAGCAGAGGTGAATTTGTCCCAATAGATCGTCACACTTTGGGAAAATTCAATACCAGGATTTCCACAACATGTTAAAAATCCATTTTACCTTCAGCATTGAGCTCATCTTCAGCTCTCCAAAAACTTCCAGTCAACCAATGAAAGATGCTTTGAAAATCTGAAAAGTCAGCAGTTTAGGAATATTTGACCATCGTGTTAAATTTGAAGAAGCGTTAGTTTTTTAATGTATATAATGGTTCTCTTTGCCCTTCTCAATCAAACTCATGCCTTTTTCTCAGTTAATTGTTGTCTGTTTGATTTGTCAAAATCCGCAAAGACCACAACTATTTCGCTTTGGTCTGAAACTGTGTAAATATTTTTCGCTTATCTTAACTTAATTTTCAGCCCAATTACATAAACTTGGTCCTTTTAATTGAATTTTATTAAGATTAATATAAATTTTGATGGCATGTAAGCAAAATGTTGTCACTTTCTTAAACATGTTCTTACCGTTGATTCGATGAAGACCGAAGATTGTTTGCTCAAAGGAAGGTATTCTTTTGTGCGAAACCGTTTTCTTCTCTAACCCTGCTCGCAGTTGTGAATCTTTTTGGATAACTGGACCTCTTTTTAAAACAAATGCGAAGCGGAAAAAAACAGTCCAGAACTTTTCCAGGTGAAAGAAATTAATTGTGGTAAATTGTATCCGCTTTGCATCAGAATAAACAGCTAGATTTTTCCGCTTCTTAAGTAATTGCCAGAATCCTTGACAACCACGCCGGCCTAGCGACGCAGTATCAGCAAGATTAATGCTTGAAAATTAGATGTTGTTTTTGAACTGAATAGTAAAGCTCTTTAAAAACATTTCTTCAATTGGTTAAAATGGCGTAATGAAATTCGATTTCACTTGCATGCTTCATTTATTCAATAAAGGCTGCTAGTTTCTAAAGAAACTGTTTGGGACTGCGTCGGTGGGGGTAACGAAATAATTTCAATATATCAACAAAGTTGAAATGGTGACCAATTTACCATCTCGACTTTGTTGATATATTGAAATTACTTCATTTATTCAAGTCTGCTGACCATGTTTTACAATATCAATTGGCGGTGTTCTATTTGTAGCATGCGTTCCTAGAGATATGAAAGCACTTGAGAAGTATCCAGATTTCACGTCTTTCTATGCGGGAAGTATGGAGAGCTAGGTGACTTACCAACCGATTAAATTTCGCTAGCTGCAATGACATGGTAGGTGAATCTGGAAAATTCAGTTGCATTTCGTAGCTTGAAATCTTGTGTTCCGATTTATCCTTAAAAATCCTCGTAACAGTTTGATTCTCCCGTTACTCGATGTCACGAATTTTTTCTCTTTGCAGAACGATTAAATATTCTTACTATTTTTTTTAGCGTCGAGTCTTCCGAAAACAAGTTCAAATTTAAGATTCCAATTTCTAATTTGATAAATTAAATGTTATTTAGTTGTTCTTCTTCCCTATTTTTTTTTTGCAGACTTTTTAACATGTTTCTCTATGGTTAAAGTGATTTTTTAACTATTTTTTCTATGGAAACAAGCAAGTAAACTTACTAATTTGTACTTTTTCCGCTTTCGATAATGTCAGTTATTTTAATGTTCCCAATAGCAACGCCAAAAGTTTCCCAGGATCGATGAGAGACAAAAAAAACCTGGGCTGTCTAGAAAAGCCGATGTTCACATTTTCCTGTTTTGAACATGTTGTTGATGTTTTTTGCGGTATCTAAGACTCATTTCCATTATTCTAGTCTCGTTGGACTTTGAAATATCCTTTCGACTGGGCACGCTTTTAACACGGCAACACACTGAAAGTTCCGTTTTTGGAGGAAGCCAAAAGAGATAAAGAAGATTCCGCTCTCTAGAAAAATCGGTTCAGGGACGCAATATTTCCTTTCAGCGTGTCGTTGATCCTCATTGTATTTTCCAGTTTGTTGCTTCTATCGATCCTTTTTCGTATATTACTTTTCTCTATTGAAATTCACTATATCGCAAGGATTTATGACGGCTTGTTTTGTGTGCATGTTCGGAGCTGGCGGAAGTCAGCTGTACACGTGATACGCACAAAGTAATTAATTTGTGCATCACTGACTCACTTCAAGCTCAGTGCACGCGACAAGCACTTAGGAAAAGTTCAATACCGTCTCGTTTTAGATAGAATAAAAACAGGTTCGTCGATAGCTTTTAGCAAAATAGAAACATCTTCTAAAAAAAAAAAAAAAAAAAAAAAAACGTGTCGTCAAGAGATGTAAAAACATTGAACCCATCGTAAACTATAACCCTTTTCTCTAAGTGGTTTTTGACCGTCTACAATCTTGGTAAAATTTTAAATTTGATCTTCAAATTATTACAAACCATCCATTTATCATTTTTATGTTTACCGTCTAGAGTTGTTTAAGAGATAGATGTGTGAAACTTAATTACAATCGTTTGATTCAAGATGTTGAGGCACTACCAATTGCTAATCAAAACAATTTGACTTCTATATCATCATTGAACATGACGATGTATATGTTTATAACAGAAAGAGGGCGATATGTACGCGATTATGTCAAATCTATACTCCAACACCATAGAATTATTGCTAAAACAGTCTGAGCCTCGATCCGTATGAATTAGCTCAAGGCGCACTCGGCTTCGTTAACATGTCGGAAAAATTGTAAGTTATGGTTGTTATGAAAATTGTTTCGTAAGCTACATTTGGTGTCATGCGGTATTTGAAACTGATCAATTGTTCAACGAGTTCCAACGAATTGAAATTTGTCATGTTGTCTGCTCAGCGGTTATCCTTTCACGTTATGTAGTCCTTTTTTTGTCTGAGGTTAAGATAACGAATACAATACCAAGGAAACAAAACAATAAACTGGTTTTAAAAAGTTTAAACCAAGAAAGAACTCAACCGCAACTGATATGCATTAAGAAGCTAAACAACAAGAGGCCTTGTTGGTATCAATTTATTCGAAATAAGACGTCCAGCAGAATTATCGAGAGTTAAGATCGGGAAAAAAAGGACTTATTCCGATGGTATTCAATAGTATTGGGACTAATCAGCAAGTCTGCTGGTCTATCAGTGAATCACTTTTGCTAAGGAATAATTTCAACGCTTTTTGAGATATACTAAACTAAGATTCCAACTCTTCATTTTCTACATTATGTTAATGCTTTACAAAGCTTTATCAGTTATCTTCTTTTGACAAGAACACCACACTCACAGCATGATCTGATCTCATGTGGGATCTTTTTCCAGTCCTGTATGTAGACTTCTATGTTAAGCTCTTGGCTAATGACGGGGTCTCGTTTAAACATACCAGTATCTTCAAGGAAGTCGAAGGTAATAGCTCTCTGAATACATTTACCGGTATTATTATTACAGAATTGAGTGACGTCGCATATAACCTCATTGATGTAGGGAGGGAAAATATTGCTTTTTAGCTTTGTCATCGCGGAACATTGCTTGCACAGGTACGTAACTCTGTTGATGACATCGCTCGGTTTCCTGCAATTGCCAATCATAGTATTTTCGATCAAAGAACGCTTCTGTCTTCGCTTGCTCTCGATCCATGATTCAAAGCGTTCGGCATCAACCTTGAAGTGATTTGCGTCATCGCTTATCACGCTCGACTTCAGTTGGGCAGATTGAGGTTGATCATTTTTGGCCTGGATTGATAAACGTAGAGATTGTTCCGATAGGGGAATCGTGTCGGCGAGGACCAGGTCGTTGAAGTTTTTACACGCCTCTGTTTCATTGATGGCCATATAACGCGGGTTGTACGTAGCTTCCTTACGAAGCTTTTCAAACAACTGAGTATCGTTGAGACGAACACAAATTGGAGCAGATACAGAAAATAAATTTCGATTCTGCTGAGGAATTTCGCTCATGATCTTACCGCATTTAGCTTTACTGATTCTCTCAGGGGACCTAGTGGGGGTTGTCCTGGATGGTGAAAAGTGAAAATGCTTCTGAGACGAAGGCCGCATGGAAATAAAAAGAAACAGAACAAATACTTGGGCCAGCATCTGTAATTTAAGCAAAAAAAGGAAATGTCACGAAACAGATATTACTATAAAAAGAGAATTCAGAAAGAATCCATTACTGTCTTGAAAACGGAGGCACATAAACCAACCAAACTAAGGCAATGCACTTTATCTATCCTTTAACGAAACCATGGTTACAATGGATAAAAGAGGGTAAGTTTCTAAAGGAAAAGTTGGTGCTGAGTCGGTGGGGCTATAACCAGATAATTTGGTTTTATCCACTGAGTTTATCATGTATTATTATTAAAAATTGGATCATTGGATAATGCAATTGAAGACTTTTTATTGGCTTAGTCATTATGGTATATGAGCTAATATACCATAATCTAATATCTGTACATTGTAACATCCGTTTTCTTCTTGCAAAATAAAGTCGAGAAGATTTGTCTAATATCTTGGGGGCGTTTTATTTAATAAAACAATTATCCCACTCGCGCTTGTTGGATATGAGATGATTATAGCCAACTCGGCGCTTCGCGCCTCGTTGGCTATCTATCATCTCATACCCAACGCGCGTTCGTGGAATAATTGTCAATTAGCCACCGTATCAAGTTTTTAAAGCTCTGAGGAAGGGCTAATGCTCGAAACGGCAGCTTAAGATCAGAGGCTCTTTACGGTGGCCAATTTACATGATCATTATCATTTCGAATTATCAACTGATAAAACCAAATTATACAGTTACATTTGTCTCCGTATTACGAAATGATAAAAATGAAGGGTAACTGACAGTCCCTAATGATCTTAATTAGTTAAAAATGTCAAGATGCCATTCTATACGGTGCCATAATTCCCTGAGCAAAGATATCAATTATTGCAGCGCCGATTTGAAATACTGAAGAAATTCCAGCCTGACTTTCGTTACTTAGTTTTTTCTTTTTTTTTTTTAATTAAATGACGCGCTCGCATGTATTAGATGAAATATAAACAAAACAAAACAAAACAAAAAAGGTACTAAAAAAGGCACTGAGGAACTCTAAATAGTTTTTTAAACATTTGATAGAAATGTGTATGAATAGAGATATCAAAACTGCGAAGGCCGTTTAACTTTTTTGATCAATTCCCAACGCGGGCCATAAAATGTTATTGTGAGGTAATATAAGAAAAGTTCTCACCGATGAATCCAAAGTAAAGAGACTTTTGGATTAAAAATTTAATCAAGTAATTAATCAACATTAAATGTCCACTATGGAAAACTATAAAGTTTACGCCTCTATTTTTGGGTTTGAGAAGTGTCAAGCCATCCCCAATCCGATTTTGGGATGGGATACAATTTTGGGATACAATTTGTCCGAGGCTCGAGGGTGCCTTTGATGTCGCAGCATGCTTTTCGCTGAAGAGTGCAGCTTCGCAATGAGGCAGCTCAAGGCTGCCCTTAAAAAAATATTGAACATGTCCTGGATCCCTCTTTTCCTTTCAAGGGTACTAATCTACTGAAGTCCTGAGATAACTGTTATGTACAAATAACTGAATCATGTAATACCAGTAAAGGAGAGAAGAGATGAAAGGGGCCTTAAGCAGTCAGGACGGCAACGCCAAAGAATATTATAAAATTAATTTCTACACTTAATTAGAACTTTGAATATGGCTGCATGTGTTTACCGTCTTTTACGGCGCCACACCTCAACTTGAGCAAATTTTAGTGATTTCACTTTCTTGTTTTGCAAAGGAGGGCTGAGAAATGTACAAAGTTTTAAAGCGTACGCTATTGCTCTGCCCATTAGATCTCTTGTTTTGCCTCGTCCATGTTGCCGTCGCCGTCGGGGTTTGCTTAAGGTCCTTTTTTGTCCTTTTTTTTTTCTTTTAAGGTCCTTTTTTGCCTAAGGTCATTTTGATCACGGCTCTTTCATAAGAGACAAAATGAGAGATAGAACGTCTAACTGCAAGCTCCACAACGATTCCGTAAGATTAAATGAAAAGGTTACATTTATACAGATTTTTTTGTTGGTTTGTTTGCTTTTTTTTCAACCAAGTCAAAGAAAAATCTCTACCAGTTTAGTTCCCGGTGAAGCAAAATTTCAGTAAAAGTCACCACATTACCCTTGAAGAAAGCCAAACTAAAACTGCGTAAGAGCTCATTTTAGTAAAGTTCCTGTTGGAGACGGAAGTTACAGCCCTCGTATTAAAATAAATTACGAACCTTGCTTCTTAGATTTAGTCTCAGCCTCACAAAACAGCTTTCCTTGGAGATCTGAAAATCAGTTTTGTCTGTCTCTACCCAGTCTTTCGTATTCCTTAAGTACAAACCGTTGAATAAGTGTTGACTCAACGAAACTGAATCATTGGCTATTTAAAAAAGAGGATTGAATTGAGAAATGTCAATCACATCAAGGATGTTTAGAATTAGTTTTACCGCAATTGCTTAGCTTGTCAAACGTGAAGCAAAAAGAAAAAAAAAAAAAGGTTCCGTTTCCCTGCAAAAACGGAAAGTAATTAAACCTGGGTGAACCTTTAAACACACTTCAGGAAGTCCGTAGACCAACATAGAAGGAGATTTTACCACTTACAAAAAGAAAAAGAAAAGAAATGGCGGTTCAATAAATGAAATGTTCTGAAGTATACCTCCTTTTCGCAATTAGCCACTAATTACAGCTAGCTATTAATTAACAGATATGGATACAAATTAGTTTTGGGCCTCTAAACAAACATTTAACAAACAAATGCCAAAATGTCTGGCAAAATTAGGGAGGTTGATAAATGAAATGTTCGAAAGTGTACCTACTTTTCGTAATTAGTGACTAGTTACTATTATGAAATAAATGATATGGAAACGAATTACTTTCGGATATCCAAACAAATATTCGTCAGATATATGCCAAAATGTCTAGCAAGGAATTAATAAGAATTTTTAATTCAAGTTGTGTCAGAGGCTGTCATTCTGCAACTTTTGTGCGGTAAATTGTAAATTACAGCATAACAAAACAATAAAATGTCACCCTATTGAAAGATGGTATGCCACGTCCTGGAGGACTGAAGATATGGCAGATATTCTGTATGCATGGTGAAGTGGGTTCTGGTTATTCATCGTGGTAAATAACACTTAAAAAGAGAAACGTAATCGTTTGTCTCACGATGTGGTCACTTGGCATATGGATTGGGACGTTTCGAATGCATATTGTTAGTCTGCTTCAGGCGATGACGTCGACTGAGTACGTGTCACCTTTATACTGTTATGCTCAGCTATGATTTGATGGAATTCTACGGCTGTGATTGGTGCATCTTACGGTATGTGTCACTCCACGAAATTGCGTATGCATGTAACGAGTTATGTTGACAAAGTTGAGCAGTAGTTCCATCTTTCAATCTTTTTACTTGTAAATAGTTTTCTATTTATATTATTACCTGTATTAGTGTAATGTTTATATGTTTAATGTGGTTTTTGTGCGTTGTTGCTCAGGGCTCCCATTGATAACAGACAGCTTTTTGCGTATGAAGGGGCTACCCTGAGCGGTATAAATTAATAAAGGTTCTTCTTCTTCTTCTTCTTCTTCTTCTTCTTCTTCTTCTTCTATTACCGTTAATTTATGAAGCCCAAATTTTACACCAAAACGTTTTAATCATGAGCTGTGCAGTGTATATTGTTGTAAATATTCGTAGAGGAAAGGTCAGCGTTGATCTAAATGAAACAAATGAATACTTAAATCACGAAAAAGGATCGCATTGGTGAAATAAAGTGATGAACGTCTTATATAATTAGTTACTACACGCGCCATGTTTGACTAATTTATTGTACCATACTAAGCTGTACGGACCGCAAAAAATTAAAAGACGCTTTTGTTGCCAAATCCATTTGAAATGAAAATGCGTTTTTACTTTAAATTCTACTACTCAGTTGCCAACTTTGAAAAAGAAGGCGAGGACACAAAGGTACTCAATGACAAACAAGGTTTTTTTCGGGTGTTTCAGCGGTCATTCTTGCGGTTGGTCCTAAAGAACCAGTCAGACTTTGTCACCGTAGGGGGGAGGAGAATTCTCGAACCAACCCCCCCCTTTCTAGGTGATAAGTAATGTCCAGTTTCTCATTGGCCAAGATCTGCGTCCTTCTACATTTGTATTTGTTATTTTTTTTCTAAAATTACCAACAGTTTCGTAAGGCGTACAAAAAGAAAATGAAAAAATCTATTATGTCGTCACTGTTTTACTGAAAGACACTATCGCTAAGGGCATACAAAATGCTCTAATTGTGCCCTTATTTGGTATTCCACAAAACGGGAACATTAAAAATTAAAGGATCGCCGAGATGCAACATTATGACGGCAAAGATTCCAACCTCGCGCGGGTATTCCCAAAGCTATACCGGCCTAACACGACTTGTGTCTATATCGCTTTTTCCTATTGTTCTTACGTCATGAGACAGAGTCTGAAAAGCTAGCCAGAATGTGTTGATAACAATATCATGGAGCAATATATATCAAACGGAGTAATATGTAACGAAATAATTTGAAAAGATCAACAAACTTGAAATGGTAAATTGGCCACCGTAACGATTATAAAAGCTGACGTTTCGAGTAAAACACGAATAAATTAGTGGCCATGTTCCCATGTTGCCAACTTCCCACCAATCACGTAGCTCCTTTTTCTGTCTTTAAAAGCACACATAACACACAATTCCCCTATTCGCTCCGACGAAGGGCTAACGCTCGAAACGTCAGCTTTTATAATCGTTACGGTGGCCAATTTACCATTTCAACTTTGTTGATATATTCAAATTATTTCGTTACCCCCACCGACGCAGCCCCAAACAATTTCNATCGTTCTTTTTTGCCTACCGTTTTACGCAACACGGGAGAGCCATGAGCTTTTGACTTCTCTTGAATGCTGGAATTAATCTAATCTTTATGAAATCACGGTGTTTAGAACTATGACAAGTTGTAAAACAACTTGGAACTATGACAGCTTTTTCTAGCCTAGTTGTTTTGGTACGTGAGTTGAGGGAGTCATGACCTATTTTAAACCCGTGTTCGGTGTCGACAAATCGATTCCGGGACTGAAAATGCAACCTTTTCGTTTTTTCGGGAACAAATAGTTTTTTCAAGGAAAAAACTACTCGGCGATCGTATACTTTCTAAAGGCTACTTAAATGCAAAAGAACAGCGAATTTTAGTTTTTTAACTTTGCCATGCAATGTTTGTTTTTTTGCACGGATTTGTTACAGTTGCATCCTCCGATCGACTTTAACTGCTGTTTGTTCGGGAAACGAATGAGTAAATAATCCGTAAGATTCATTCCTGCTCTGTTGTTGAAGATACCAGATACAACGTGAAAGCAGATATATGGTCAGCGCGTGCTTCTATGAAATTGCTACGAGTTTTATAGGACTAAATTTGTTCGGTGCGAAATTCAAATTGGAAAAAAAGACAAGCAGAGGTGAATTTGTCCCAATAGATCGTCACACTTTGGGAAAATTCAATACCAGGATTTCCACAACATGTTAAAAATCCATTTTACCTTCAGCATTGAGCTCATCTTCAGCTCTCCAAAAACTTCCAGTCAACCAATGAAAGATGCTTTGAAAATCTGAAAAGTCAGCAGTTTAGGAATATTTGACCATCGTGTTAAATTTGAAGAAGCGTTAGTTTTTTAATGTATATAATGGTTCTCTTTGCCCTTCTCAATCAAACTCATGCCTTTTTCTCAGTTAATTGTTGTCTGTTTGATTTGTCAAAATCCGCAAAGACCACAACTATTTCGCTTTGGTCTGAAACTGTGTAAATATTTTTCGCTTATCTTAACTTAATTTTCAGCCCAATTACATAAACTTGGTCCTTTTAATTGAATTTTATTAAGATTAATATAAATTTTGATGGCATGTAAGCAAAATGTTGTCACTTTCTTAAACATGTTCTTACCGTTGATTCGATGAAGACCGAAGATTGTTTGCTCAAAGGAAGGTATTCTTTTGTGCGAAACCGTTTTCTTCTCTAACCCTGCTCGCAGTTGTGAATCTTTTTGGATAACTGGACCTCTTTTTAAAACAAATGCGAAGCGGAAAAAAACAGTCCAGAACTTTTCCAGGTGAAAGAAATTAATTGTGGTAAATTGTATCCGCTTTGCATCAGAATAAACAGCTAGATTTTTCCGCTTCTTAAGTAATTGCCAGAATCCTTGACAACCACGCCGGCCTAGCGACGCAGTATCAGCAAGATTAATGCTTGAAAATTAGATGTTGTTTTTGAACTGAATAGTAAAGCTCTTTAAAAACATTTCTTCAATTGGTTAAAATGGCGTAATGAAATTCGATTTCACTTGCATGCTTCATTTATTCAATAAAGGCTGCTAGTTTCTAAAGAAACTGTTTGGGACTGCGTCGGTGGGGGTAACGAAATAATTTCAATATATCAACAAAGTTGAAATGGTGACCAATTTACCATCTCGACTTTGTTGATATATTGAAATTACTTCGTTACCCCCACCGACGCAGCCCCAAACAATTTCTTTAGAAACTATCAGCCTTTATTCAATATATAACAAAGGCTGTTTGAAGTGATTCATCTTAAATTCATTTTCTTACATTGCAAACAAATACTAGCCCGAAATGAATAAATAGAAGCAAAAGTAAGCAGTGGGGGTTGACCGATCAGCGGGTGAGAATTAGATAGTGCTTTTAAATCAGACCTAATTTTAAAAGACAAAACCTTAAGATGGAGTTAATATTTACTGAATACCTGCCATATACGAAAAAGCTGAAGCAAGCACAGACAGCCAGGGGTCAAGAATAATTGAAGGAAGGAAAACGGGAACTGTGTTGTCTCTTTTACAACGATATACTGTGTTATGTCACTTAACTATGCAATTTAAACGTGCGCTACTGGATTAGGAACATTCCGGTGCCCAGGATGTTGCCTGGCTCAAAAATGTCTGCTTATCTCCTCTCCTTGTCTGCTGTCAAGATCTGAAAAAAAGTCTCCCAATTGGAGACAAAAAATACCAGTCGTTGATGGCTACCTCCGAGAATTCAGCGTCGCATAGTATCCCATACTTGATGTGTGTCCTTATTCTCATCACCCGTTTGTTTGACATTGCATTAAAATTGATGGGAGAATTCAGGTAGTGATCACTAATGAGAGAGGAATTGAAGGATAAGGCCGCATGAATCATTAAAGCAGCGATTTGGAACTTTTATGTAAAGATATCAAGATGCTCTCTGGTAGTTTCAAAAAAGCCAAGCGTTCAATACGTTACCTGATTGACTCTGATCGCAGCACAAGCCAGTATTTCGGGGATGGGAAATGAGGTTATGGACAATAAGGATTATGTAAAAATTTCACTTAGCTAGAGTACTTTGGTAATTCTGAATGAAAAAGTTCATTATTCATAAAAGAAAGAAAAAAAAAAAAAAACCATGAAACTATTCTTACTATCAATGAAGATGACCTTAGTAAATTCAACAAGCTCAATCAGAGCTGAAAGGCGTTTTACAGATAAGGAGAAATTTTGCCCAAATAAAACCCTTTCCTTATTTGGTTTTTCGCATCTGGCTTATGGAAAATACATTTTTAAACGGGGGATGATTTGAGAGACTTTCCTAATAATTGCTGGTTGTTAAACATCCTCACAATATTACCTCTCCAGCCGTAAGAGTCTACTTGAAATAAAATATGAGAGAAAATGTCAAAAATAGAATTCCTTTTCAATGTCCTTATAAATGTTATGGTAATGCTTTCAGTTGGAATTTGGAGTACCAGCCGTCTGTTTTAAAGTTTCTATCGTTTAAACTAACTTTCACTGAGTCGACGTTCTGTCTGTGTAGAAAAAGGTGAGTGAAAAATATTTTTGGCCTAAAGAAACAGATTCGTGATTAAGTGTTTTGGGCATAGTGTTGCGATAGAGTGATCTTTTTTACATTTGATGTATGCTTTAAGAAAGCAAGTCTGTTTGAGCAGAGCATGAATAGAATTATTACTATTAAAAGCCCAACATACGAACGTGTTTAAAATTGGAAAACTGAGTTTTGCCGAGGTATCTAAACTGAAAACGATAACTGAAAACAAAGCCTCTATATTCAGCTCTAACTAAAGAGTCAAAGAGTACTGTCCATTAAGATTTATGTTAGCATTGAAATTAGTTTACTACTTTTCGAATAGTTCTTCTTTAACGTGGTCATTGATCCTTTGCAGAGTTTTAACTTTTTCATCGATGGGAATCGATCCCATGGCCACCTTGAGGTGAAGACAAGCAGTTCGATAATTTGTGACTTGAATTCCTCAAATTACACGGCAAATTATCTTTCAGTATTTGTTCAGAACCACGGCAGGTGAATGTCATAATATTTGTCTGTAATCTCTTAAACAAAAGGTGTTTTCTTATATATATTTGTGCGGCAGAGATTACAATGTCGCATAATTGAATCACCACAACGGCGGAACTCGTCACATAATAAATTTACAAAGAACTGCAATTTTTACTGGATTCCTGCTCAATGTTACATGCTCTTTCAAACTAGCTGCATTCCTCTTAAACGTTCTTCTCGCACTTTGCACGTGCCTTCTAAAATTTTACCGTGAAAGGATGAGATGAACATGATGCAAATACTATATCGTGCAGAGTATCACTGCGAGCAAGGAAGAGATCTTGCTATTGTGTCAGCGCCAAATCTTAATTCTTGAAACTGATACTTTTTAACGATAAATTCCTGCAGGCTTACAGGAAACTCTATCTCTGACTTTGCTTTCGAGTGTAAGTTGTACATATTTGGTCTTTTGTTGTTATTTTGTTAACGCCGAATATCTATAATTACCTCAAAACTATTTCCCTTGAAGAAGTGACGTCATACTAATCCCCTCCACTCGTCGATATTTTGCGATGTGAAACTATCATCATCGTAAGAGAAAAATATAATTAAGAGGCACTAATAAATGGAAAAATTTCATGGATGCCCTAGGTTGGAGAATATCAAAACAGATTTCAAATGACGAACTGGAAAAATTTGAGCCAAAAATTTTGTAAAACACCCGTTGTGGTGACGCTGCTTCTCTAATAAAGCTAATGTAAAAACAAGTAGTTTTAGCGACCCCATTAAGGCTCTGCGTTGGTCATTATATCGACAGAACGAAATCTTTTATAATAATTGATGTACTGAGTCTAAAACAATTATCCTTCTACCATTAGCTTGTATTAGGACGTGAAACAATCTACCTTGTGACAGAACAGACATAGCACCGCATAGGATGAAGGTAAGAAAGATTATTGGGAATTCCACTTTCTGTTCAGTCAGCGTACACTCTTTAATTGTCGAAACTTTCAGTAGTGTTACCATCAATAGCTGATACAGATAAACTAGAAATAAGGAAATTAAAGATCCACCATTTTAGAAAAAAGCCCTTTACTAAACAGTACCGTTTAGAGATGGCAAACAGAATTGTGGAAGTTTGCGGAAAGAAGATATACCCCTCAGACGGTTGCATTAGTCAAAAAAGCAAATCAAGCCAAATGAGACAATTTTGGAAGTCATCCAGATCAAATGAAATCTTGATAATCAAGGAGATATCTTTACTGAAACTTATTCCAAAGGTGTATTTTAAGTGAAAATATATGGTATCATTTGCTCGACAATGAAATGATCACAAAATCTATGTCATCTTAATTGATACTTACAGATGTCAGTTCAATATTTTGAACAGGTTTCAGTTGTTTGCTTTATAGTTTCAAAAGTGTTTACGTAAACGCAAATAAAACGAGGAAATCATGATTTAGAGGATATTTTCAGGAATACTAGGTTTGCGTTCAAGCCATAGAAGTCTTTCATAATGATTTCATGATATTTGCTGGTTAATGCAGCAGACATTCTTAATATCAATTGCTCAAAAGAGTTTACATAAACCCCAATAAAACGTGGAAGTCATGTTTTAGAAAGATATTTCCGGGCTTATGAGGTGTCCAAGCTATATAACTCTGTCATTATGATTTTACAAATTTTGCTAGTTAATGCACCAAACTCCCATATCAACAATTGCTCACGTAGCGTCTTCTGCTCTTTCACCTTGAAGTATTGAATTAAAATAGCTCACCTGTATTGTACTCAGTTTTCATGCGACACGACTTCCTTAAATATTTTTAAAAGCTAAGAATATATGAAAATCATATATTTGAACTGCGGTTACAGAAACGCACATGAGAACAATCTTCGCAGTAAGGGGCATAGTGATATTAAGACCTGAAAAAATATTCAGGCCTGTACGGGATTCGAACTCATGACCTCTGCCAGTGCACTGCTCTACCAACTGAGCTAACAAGCCAACTGAGAGCTGGTCATGATGGTGATTCGTAATAAACCCTTAAGGTGATGAGCCTAATGCTAAGAATATATGAAAATCATATATTTTTTTTGATAAAAAAAAAAAAAAAAAAAAATCGGTGGCGTAATTTAAACTTTGTTACTTTGTTGCAGCCGGAAACAACTGCTGTTGCGTTGTTATTTTTACTCATGTGTATCATCGTAGTTGAGGCTTTTTTCCTAAAGCATCACCCAGATGAGAATAATGAGAGGCAGCAGATACACAAAATTGTGATTGGGTCAAAAGAGCCGCGAACCATGAATAGAGGCTGGCCGGCGGATAATCGGGGAAGGCCTGGAAATAGAATAAGACAAAGATTTAGGTATCCATGGAGATTAAGACCCACTAAATCTGCGACTATCAAATCAAATCCGGACATTTGCAGAAACCACTCGAGGGTTTCCCGAGTGGGTGACGAGCCTGGACCGGTCGTGTGTTTGAGAAAGTCAGCACATGACCTTTTGGTACAGTTAGGGTCTCTTGGAGGGTTAAACAAACGATATGCCGCTGTTAACATCACTGACGCATGTGGTTTTGAGGATCTAACCACCTTTCCGGAGGGACAACCGAAGGCACCCGAGCATGGTACGAAAAAACCCAAAGTAACGAACTCGACGGAAAGCACTAAGCACCATGTAGCCATGCAGCAAGCTGACGAAGGAAAACTCGATGTGGAGCGCCTGAAAAGGAGCATTCCCACCACTCCAGGCACATTTATCCGTGGGTGTCAGGGACGGGGTACAATTCTAGATGGCACCAATTTGCACCGTTTATGCACCGAATGTTCAGCCACCACCCGTCTTGGTGACGATCGGTTTCCAAGGTACATCAACGAAGTAATTTGCCAGGATAGTGACCATCAGTGTGCTGCAAAAATGGGGCTTTGTTTCCAGAGGACACATCTACTTTCTTTCTTGCGATTTACAGGCAAGTTCGAGCTTGACATTCAAATGACTCACTTTGCTGGTAAGCCAGTGTATAAGGAGGTGTGGGACTTCTACACACAGGAGATTCGATCATGTTGTGAATGCGAAATGTACCCGGATGTTTATCGCGCGATTGCGTCAAGAGGTGGAGATGATGACGATGATGACGATGATGACGATGATGACGATAGATAACAGCAAAGATGAACGAGCAGATGAGAGTTGATCTTCTCAACCCCTTGCCGCACATCAACTCTTATCGTTGTTTTGTGCATTTGCAAATTGACATGCATAAATTATTTTCCAGTTGGTACGTCATTGATCGTTCCACTAAGCTTTATTTAGGGACGGGTCATTTTTTTTTATCGTATAACCGGCAGACAGCAAGTTCCATTTTATAACTGTACGACTACTGAGCTTGCTAAAATGAAATTTAATTTTTGAATACATGTTTTATACATTCACTGAAATACAGAATTAAACTTGGCCAAGTCCCACAGGGGACCTTGCTCGGTCAAACCTGGACCTTGTCAGTAGCTGTGACGTCACTATGAATTCTCTCGTATCCTCATCCCAGACTCCCTTCCCATCCAGTGGGCCTCGTCAGACCAAGACAGAGACAGACACATAGAAAAGAAATACACTGATATAAAAAAAAAAAAAAAAACCAACCATCTACACCCTAAGATCAGTAGGTTTATTCTCCATACTGTGCTCTCTACATTTCCCTAGTGGCTGACAAAGAGAATTAGTTTAACAATCCAGAGCTCCTTAAGGTAGTGATCATTTCCTTTATTCTCCTGACCTTAATGTGGGATTCAGGGTGATATTGTATGGAGAAATGAGATGCTAGTCACTCTATGGGGTTAGATGGTAAGGAGCGTAGAAAGATTTGAGCTCCTACTTGTCTTTGCTTCTTTTTTTCTTATTTTTTATTTTGTCGCTTTTTTATTTTATTTTCCGCTTACTGAATAAAAGGAGCCTGAATGAATGAATAAAAGAACATAGTTCTTCTTTCGGAGAATAAACGAGCTGATATTTCCACGTACTGTATATCCCCGTCGCCAGGATGAAAATGTGGGTAGCGAACGTAAGAAAAATAACCCAAATCGACGCCAGAGGGGGTATCTATCTGTACGTGACACAGTCATGGGCAACAGCCAGTGGTCGGGTTTATCGGCAAATCCAAATGGATGGAAAGTAAACGCTCCAGGCTTATGCTGCCAAATAGTACAGAGATATTGTATTTCCACGAATACACGCGTACGCTTTAATGAGCACTCTCCCCTGAATGAGTGCCCACTCCCGGCCCAGGGCCAAAATGTCAAACAAGCACCTCTCGAATAAGCGCCCACTCCTCCCTCACTTTATAAAGGTTTAGCCAAAACAATGTTATAGTTTTTTGAGGGAAGAATTTTATAATTAGCCTGCTCGATAAAGCGTTTTCCTTCCAATAAACCCCTTCTCCCCCGCTTTTACCCGAAATTTTTATATATGCGCATAGGCACTTAAGAAAATTAGAAAATAAGCTTTCTAATTTTTTTTTCCAGGAAACTGGCTGTGAATTCAAAGTAGAGGATGAATTCTGGTCACAATTTATCCATGGCAGGTTCGAGGTGCGGAATCCAGTTTTTTTGTGTGGACGTTTTGATTAATTTACTCGGTCAAAAACCTCAACTCCGCCGAGGAATCGGTTATTTTTTAACCCATAAGAATTCAGGATAGGCATGTTTTGCATATGAATAGCCCCCTGTGCAATTATTTGCGTACACTGCTCGGCGGTTTCCCGTGGCACTTGGTTACGTGGCAACAAAACACCTTTTGATGATATCGTTGATCCTAATCTCAACTCTTATCGGCGCTGCACAAATATTGCCAAATGTTGCTCAAAGCTCCAGTTAAACAGGTTTGTATTCTGACCCTGTTTTGATTCAGTGTTGTAAGAGTCTGCTTGACTCAATATTTTGTGCAATTTTTAATTTTTTTATTTCGTCATACTGGGCAAAAGAACATCCAGTAGGATTTTCGATATCGGTTACAAATTGCAGAGCTTTCTGCTCATACAAGAGTTTTTTTTTCGAAAGCGTCAGTATTTCAGAAGACATTTAGGGTACAAAAGGAGAGAAAACTTTATTTTTTAATAATTTCGAATTTTTTCTTCGAATTGGATCTTAAATATTTTATTTACGTAAGTTTACCGCGTGACAGCTCAAAATATCGCTAAAATCATTAATGCGGAGACGTTAAATAAGTTCTTAATAGGTCAGTAAATAAAATAGGCTCTTTGATCGGCTAGAGTCAAATTTCGAAAGGCTGTGTAGTTTATACCTCGTCGGAAGTCAAATCGCGTTTGGAGGATATTTTGTGGAAACAAAATTTGAAAGTGCAATCTACTTCCATGATCTAGTCAGCGGCAGCAAAAGTCAAAGGAAACCATGCGCGCGTTTAATGAAATCATGACAATTTCGATAATTTTGTAAGGAACCAAAATAGATCGGTCTATGCTGAAATTTCTACGAATGAAATGCTCTGAAAGCGATTGGAAAATTTCTAAAGAGGGCGGCCAAATTAAAGATTTAGATGTCCGTAGACGAAACAGGGCGTCCACTCATTGATTTTGCCTCCGAAGGCCGGCTAAACGGACCTGATGTAGTTCCGTATCACGCGGACCCGGCCAGTTACAGCACGGCCATAGTTGGCGGTACCCATTACGATAGCAGGACTTCTGAACAAAGACCTTTACTCGGCAGATCGAGATCGCGAATGGACAGTCACAGTGATACTGAATACCAAGGAAATCATTTTGACGATCCAGAGTTTAGCAGTCTTATTCAAGCCGCCGAACAAGCTATTGATGTGGGAATTCTGCCCGAGCGTATATACCAGGGATCGAGTGGCAGTTACTTCGTAAAGGACAAAGAAGGGGTAAGATGCGTGTACGTGGTTTTTTTTTATTGTCATTTCTCATCGATTCTCACTTTGTCTAGACGAAGGTCCATGGAAACATCTTAAATCCAATTTCACTTATATATATGGTATTTGTTTTTAACATGATGGATGCTCTTTGGACTGCAAGACCTATTTCCGGTTTCTCTTTCTCGACTTAACGCCTCACAAGTACATCGTGTTATAACTCTAGCGATATTGTGACAAACTAAAATCGTTTGAATGTTCACCAATTTGCCTCTGATTGCTATCATCTTTGTTTTTGTTAAGATAGGGGAAATCTTACATTCATTATTAATTTGTAAAGATACACCAATATTTAAATTTTCCTTTGAAATAATTATAACTATCCCTATCTTTTAACCAAATTCAAACTGAGCTGAACAGGGAAATTTATTTCACAACAAATTATCACCAATGTATATTTACGGGAATGCAATGTACATTTATTTTCCCCATTCATAAATGATTTCCATCACATTTGTTTATAACTGTAGGTGGTTATGTTTATCAAAACATAATAGGTTTGAAACTACACCTTGAATCTTATTTGTGTTTACTTTGTTTTAATGATTATGATTATTATGGTAAATTTCTTCCAATGGACAGTACAAATCAATTTTAATTAAGAAAGAATTATAGGTGAACAGGTGCAAATTTTGACCAATTTTACTTCAATAGTTTTAAAAGCATTCTTTCTGCTGTTTGATTTCAAACCTTCCTTAGTACATGCAAACAGAAACAATGCCAGAAGTTGACTGTTTTAATAAACTTTAGCTTTCAAAATAATCTCATAGTTTTTCTTTTGCCTGCAGAAAAAGATTGGTGTATTTAAACCTAAAGATGAAGAACCCTATGGACACCTTAACCCTAAGTGGACAAAATGGTGTCACAAGATTTGTTGTCCATGTTGTTTTGGTAGAAATTGTTTAATTCCAAACCAAGGATATCTCTCTGAAGCTGGAGCAAGCCTTGTAGATCAGAAACTTGGTCTCAATATTGTTCCTAAGACAAAGGTAAGACAACCAGTGACTTACAAGAGTCATTTTTGCAACTTATCTTTGTATCATGCAAATTATGTAGGAGTTGCAAAGTCTGGTGTTTTTTAGAAGCCCAGTTGTGAAGCCTTGAGGCATGACCATTATGTCCAGTTTTTTGGAAATTAAGACACCTAGAACTATGTACCCTCTCAGTGCCTTGTGAATTCCATGTTGTCTTGCGTCAATATTTAACAATTATTCCACGAGCACGCATTGGATATGAGATGATAGATAGCCAACGAGGCGCGTAGTGCTGAGTTGGCTATAATCATCTCATATCCAACAAGCGTGAGTGGAATAATTGTTTTATTAACAGTGTTAAATTAGGTTATTAAATTTTATTAAATTGTTTAGCTCCCTTTTAATTTTAATCTGACACGTACGCCTACCATATTTGCAGATTATGGTTTATTTAACAACTATTCACCGTGGTGGATATTTAACGAGCCGCGATGCGGCAAAGTAAATATCCACCGATAACCACCGACACTGGGGTAAATAGTTGTTTTAGTATATACTAAAACAGTGACATAATGTACACCACCGTCGTTAATTTGAGTGATTTCTTCACTTTTCATGGATGCAAACCAGGACGCCATTTTTTCCCGAGTTGCCTGGAGGTAAATAGCAAAGGATATTCGGAGTTTGACTAGCCAAACAGAGCGTGCCTTCAACGCTATCCACTGTTTTAGTGTATACTATTGGCTGATATACCATAATTGCTAAGCCAATAAAAAGTCTTGAATTGCATTATCCAATGATCCAGTTTTTGATAATCAGTAATAGATCACAAGTGATGTGGAAATGTGAAAAGAACAAAAAGTGGCACAGAAGGCGCAGCTGAGTGTGTCACAAGTATGTTCTTACCACATTTTGAAGTTTTGTGTGATTTGTTACTGTACAGATGTACAGCAACTTGGAATCTATTTGTTTTATATGAAAAAAATAGCAACGTGTTATCAATGCTGACATCATCTATGTGTCTGCAACAACTAGTAATTGAAGTAGAGGTGATCATGAGTGAATACTTACCGAGGGCATAGCGGCAAGGTAAATATCCATGGCCAGCCACCAACACTGCTAAAGCAGTGAGATAATATAGCACAAAAGACAATTTTAACTCATTTATTCCCACTCCAATTAAACATTTTTGTGTGCAAGTTCCATGTGAGTTCCTTGAAGGTGAATGGCAAAAGAAGTTTGGATTTTGAGTAGCCAATCAAAATGCATATTAAGTGCTAACCACTGTTTTCAACTTATCATGTGATATAAAAGTGGATAGCAGTAAACTTGAAGGGTGAAGAATAGTTGTTAATTACCTCC